TCAAAGCCATTATTGTTGATTATTAACCATATAACCTTGGCAAGCTGTTTAACCTCACCTTGCCTGTTTCCTTCGTGTAAAATAACAATGCATTAAAAATCGCAGGATCTCTCTCTGACCATGGCCCAGGGATGTGAATAGCCTTGCTATCATGCAGAATGCAGTGGAAAGTAGATTGTTAAAGATGGAATTAGGTTAAAATTTATCACCTTCTCAGTTGATCTCCCTTAGGATCTACTGAATTTGTTCTAGTTTTTAATATTTTCTTTCTTCCCAATTGAAGTTTTTATATGTTTTGTTATTGTTGCTAGTTTTTGTTTGAGTGGTTTTTTCTGCATATGAAATCCAGGATAGGTAAATCTAGATAGAGAGTGACGGGGTTAATTAATGGTTCCTTGGGGGTGCGGCTGGGGAGACTGGGGGAAACAGGGAGCTGATAACGATGAGTACAAGAATGAAGAAAATGTTCTAACACAGATCGTGGTGATGACTGCACTACTCTTCTTGATGTGGCGGAACTATGCAATTGTATGATCTGTGCACTAGATGCCCACTAAACTACTGGGGGAAATAGCGGGATTTTCCAGCTGATTAAATATGACAGAAGAGAGAGGCATTAAAGATGATGGGGCACTACTGCAGCTGGGTAACCAGGAGAGGGAACAGGCAGAGAAGGATTAGAAGGACCAAAAATTTCCAGTTAGGCCAAGAGAGGAAAGGATATCCATGAGTGGACAGCCAACCGGCAACCACGGGTGGTGTTAAGATACACCAAAACCAGATTTGTAAACTAGTCCTCCAAGAGATTACAATGGAATCCACAGAACTGGTTAATATCAACATTTCTTTTCAAAATATTTTATAAAGATTTGCCAATCCAGGGAGCTAGGGCCCAGCACCTTCATGCTGACAATTATGGTAAAGTAGCACACCCTTTGGGCATTTGCCGGCAACACGGAAGGCGCTCTGTAGCAGGCAGAGGTCCAAGGTTTATGGGACTGGGAGGCTAAAGACTGGAGAGAAGCCTACCTACAGACAGAACTGATGGACGGTGCTACACGAGCTTTCTGACACTGGCAGAGCATGGCAGAAGCCACGGGGCTATATAGCTGGGGAAAGCTGCTCCTGACTAGGAAAACCATGGCCTGAGGATTTTTTGATACTGAACTGTATCTTGTTAATGCCCTAAAAAAAAACCCTCATAAATATGAAATATATATAGTCACTTTGTATGGCAAACAAGAACCCTCACATGGCCCATCCAGGGCTTTCCCTGGACTGTATGTCCCATTCAAGACATAGCACCAGAGCAAACCATCTAGAACACATTATCGCCAACCCTGTTGGGAGGTGATAATCATGGAAATATCCTTGAAGGAGCCATGCCCCAAGCGCTTATTAAGAGCCCACAGTCAGCACACTGCTTCAGGCCTCCCTCGTAAATCCCTTCCCTTCCCTATTTTAAAGGGTATTAAGAACCTTGCTTGCTTGAAGGAAGCTACGGATCAAACCCTGAGTCTGCAGCCTGTCCCAGTCAGTCTCACAGAACTGCCCCTCCTGAAACACCCTTCCCATGCGTAATAACGCCCAAGTCTCCCAACGTAATTCCTGGTCTGTTCTTCAGGTTCCAGGCACCTAGAATCCAGGAAGGATGGTCACTGTTCTGTGTGTCACCCCGCACACTGTGGTCCAAGATGCATTCACATGTGAATAAACTAGCAACGTAAACAAATATATTTTGATTATTTACAAACTTTTCAAGTTGAAAAGGGCACTCTCCTAACGTGATTGGAAAGACACTGAGTGTCTCATGTTCTGATCTATGAGCGGGAATCATGGCAGCAGTGAGCCCTCTGACATGGCAGGTGACAATGGTGAGGAAGATGATAGCAATAAACTCCTACATGGCATTTTCTGCATGTCAGATACATTGTCCTTCTAGGTAAGTTTTCTCCATTATAATCTCGAAGTCCCATTTCCTGGACAATCAGAAAGAGGTACGGGTTACTCAGCTTTAACCTTAACCTCAACTCTGTTTGGTAAGTAAAAGTCTATTTGCTCTTGGCTCATGTCAATCCGGTAGTGACAAGGACACAAACACTGTGACGTTTTGCCAGTTTCTTCTTGCTTCACTCTCACCAGGCAGTATCACTGGCACGCATCTTGCTTTCTAAACTTATTATCTCATTTCAGTTATAACCAAAGCTTGGTATCATCCTCACTTCTAAAACTACCCATGTCCACTTGCTTCCAAATTATCCATTCAGCCAGGGAAACCAGTATGGCTCCCAACATGCGAAGGAATACTCACTTCATTTGTCATGAAGTAGGTAGATTGATTGGTCCTAAAGCCCCCTTGAGCACTAAGCAGGATCAGTGAGACCTCTCAGAGCCACAGCAGCTAAGGGGCATCCCAGGCAAGCACATACAGGCCCTCGTCATTTACATTCCCATTTCCCACTTTGGGTGTCCTAAAACTGCTTCCCAGGGGCCCACATTTTATGTTATTGACCTTAACAGTTGCGTTATTGTCTCTCTCTTTTCATGCATCCACCACAACCTGGCATGTAAAAGCCACCTTGCTTTTAAAAGCTCCTTCAGAGCAGACACTCCAAGGGAGGGCACATCACCACCACAAAGGGCAGGCTAAGTAAATGCTGGTAAAATAAACACAGGATTGAGAAGCCAATTCATTCAGTAAGCACAAATCTCCATAGGAAAATCGAAAAACAAAGCCTTCCAGAGGAGCTATGCCTAAGGGAGGAATCAGCTGCTTCCCAAACCCTCTTAAAGTGAACCCTTACCCCTGGCAGACTGGTACTTCATTGCATATATCCCAGGGGAAATGAAGATGGAAGACCAATGTGAATTTTACATTTCTTGCTCTCATTTCCCTATCCTCAAACCACCGGAGCATCTTGTACAAAGGTTGGAATGGTAACCTCTTGAGTCTACTACTTCAGGTCATTGTGGAGTTATATTCTAGGTCTAGGTCTAATTTTACTTTTTTTCTCTCACCATCAAAACCAATTCTGATAGATTTTCATTTCTTAAAAGCTCTAGATTTAGCATCCAAAAAGTAAGTCCAAATGAATTACTTTCTAGGAGGTAAGTTCTAAGAAAAGGGTCTGTCTGACTTCTACATATCCACACTAGCTGACACATGACTATTGGTCAATAAGTATCTGTTAAAGAAAAAGAAATAAATGCACAGTTCAAGCAACAAAACATAGGAAGAAGCTGGCACATTAGCATCTGAGAGACTCAAAAAGGGAGATAAAAGATGACCAACTAAGCCCTTTCCCTTAAAGACAATAGTAAATTGGAATATTGAAATATAAAATCTGCATCTGTCTTGAGGAGCTCTGGTTGTGCAGTGGCTAAGGTGCTCAGTTGTCATCAGCTGCACTGCCTCAGAAAGATGAGGCAGTCTGCTTCTGTAAAGATTCAGTCTTAGAAACCCTACTCGGGCGCTTCTACTCTGCGTCTAAGGTCTCTATGAGCTAGAACTGACTTGACGGCAGTACGTTTTTGGACATCTGTCTTACGTGTTCAACTTTTCTCTAGCTGCCTGAGCAACACAGATTCACAGATGCCCTATTCTGTGCCCTCAAGGGGAAATAACTGCTTTCTTGATTTCAAGGGACATGATGCAAATCGTTCTCAGGTCTAAACCTAGGCTATCCAATCTGGTACCCACTGACAACAAATGCTTTCTGGGCACCTGAAATGTGGCTGGTCTGAATTGAGATGTGTTGGAAATGTAAAACATTGAGGCCTAGTTCCCTGAAGGCACTGTGAGTCAGGCCTTTGGCTGCAAACCTCAGGGTTGACAGTTCAAACCCTCCAGCGCAACTCTGCAGGGGAAAATGATGCAATTAAATGTTCCAATAAAGATGCACAGTCTCAACAAACCCTATATAGGATTGCTAGCAGTCAAAATCAATGTGATGATAGTGGGTGTGAGTACCTGACCCTCATTAGCAGAATTCAGACCCCCCAAAAAGGTAAAATACCCCATTGTTTGATATAATGCACAGGCTGAAATGATATTTTGCATATATTACAGGTAAATAAACCAATTGTTAAAAGTGGCTTCACCTGCTTGTTTATACTTTTCCTAACATGGAATAGAGGAATGAGCACCAAAAAACACACAGCAGGACACAGTCCGAGTGGCTCAATCTATGGAGAAGGCAGTGGGCAAGACGGTCTACCATGTAACAGGTAGTTTATATATGTACAAGCTCCCTTTAAAAGGCACAACAGCACTGAGAGGGAAAATGCGATTAGCCTTGATCTACACATAAGGAAACTGAGTGGCAGAAAGGAGAGGGTACTAGCAGAGTTGCAAAGCTGAAAAATGGGAAGACTAAACATGGAACCAAAGTCAGATTGCCTTCCAAATGCATGCGGTTGGCTTTGCTCCCCACTCACTTGGAGAAAGCTCTCCCCACATTGTCAGAGGGTAAACAAAGGGTGCCGAATCTCCGGCCTGGATTATCCTGCAATGAACTTCCCGTTGACACTTTATACCTAGGATGGGGCGCCTTTCCTCCGCCCAGGACCATTTGGATACTTATAACATCATTCAAGGGCCACCCTGGTCAATCAGTCCATTAACTCATTCCTAATGTGATGGCTGGGACTAATTCTCTTTGGTGAGGCGTGTGATGTTAGCTGGTATGGAAGATCCTCGGGCCCCATGTTCTCTACCCCTCCAACCACTGGTCAAAGATCTGGCTTCTACATCGGCTAAACAAACTCAGAAAATAAGGAGCATGCAGCAACATCCCACAGGCTGTTTTTCTGTGTAAAATAATCAAGTTTTTTCGATTGGGCTTTTTGGCTTTTTTTAGAGTCCAAGTTCTCTATTTTATCTGTCACTGTTAGTATAATCCACTGGTTGGGTTGCATAACTACTGTGTGAAACTGCTACCTGTGCATTCACTAATTTGGGAAAGCGGGAGTAATATTCCACCTGTGATTAATGAGCTTACTTAATCTCTTAGCCGCCTCCACAGCCTCACTGGCAGAGTCCGCCACAAAGAATTTCTGCACTCTCACGCCACTGTCAGACATCAGCTTCTTGCTCTGGTATTCCTGCAGGTTCAACCATCTTCGGAGAGTTAATTGAAATACCTAGGGAAATTGGGAGAGGAGAGAAACAGCACTTGTTATTAACAAGAAAAACAACAGCCAACCAATAAATTATGCCAGTTTTACGGGTACCATACTTGCTGATCAATAACACAGAATTTAGAGGGGCAAAAAGAAAGCAAATCTATATAAGTTCTTCTTGCTTAATTTTTTTTAAAAATAAGAAATGCTAAGGGCAATTGGGAGTGCACTGAGCTTCTGGCAAAGGGGATGGAAAAACTCAGAATGATGATAGTTGAATGGCAAGAGCAAGGCAGCTCACGCCACTCAACTATATATGGGCAGATGGTTGAAATGGGGAAAAAAAGAAAAATAATAACCTATATATTCATCAAAATTTTAAAACTGATTACACATTTTGAAATGCTAAAGAAATCTATACACACACATGGAAACGAATGCTGGTCTTAAAAATGAGTAAAAACTAAGTGAGATCTCTACTCATGTACTACAGCTATGTAAGATAGCACCTCGGGAGAAACTGGGTGTTGGGTTCTATTTTGGCAACTTCCAGTGAGTCCCTAAATATTTAAAAATACAATTATTTTTTAGTCAGGATTCTGCCGTATGGTCTACACCTAGCCACTTGCATTAAATAAAAGCCCAAAGCATCATTTTAACAACTAGATGCACAGCATTAACCACTGGCAAGTGTCTCAAGTAAATTTCTTTAAGTCTCTGAGGCCACTGGGTGATAAAGCATGTCGTTTCTTTAGCCCAGTTTTTAATGCCACCTAGGCATCATTATGTATTTAATGAGACTGCCCCTGTCCTGTACCAAAGTTCAGTGCAGTAACCTGAAAGATTTAACATTAATGAAACTTACTCTTAAACTGCAACTTGTGTATTTGAGTGACTTTGTTTAGGTACCAACTACAAGTGGATTCTGATGTGAATTGTCAATTAATTGTTATCTGTGTTGAAAGGAAATATTCAAAGGGAAAAATGGCATGAACAAATAAATTCCTTTTTAAAAATTCATCACAATTCCTGAGCAAACCCTAAGTTCCCATACTTAAATGGGAAATTTTTAAAAAGGAGGAGAATACATATAGTGTCTTCCATGAGTCATGCTGCAAAGGATCCATACTTTCAAGAGGTGGGATCAAGGCACAAACAGATCCATCACACCACCACATCAAAAGACCACTTTGTGCACCCTTGTAATAAATTAAATTGTGCCCCTCAAAGTATGAGTTGGAACCCTAGCCCCTATACCTCTTAATATAAGTTCCACTTAGAAATAAAGTTGTCATGCTAGATAAATTAAATCACACGTGGGGAACTGTTGTTGTTAGCTGGCATCGCATTAACCCCTAACCCAAGCGGATCCACGGCACAACAGAATGGAACACTGCCCAATGTTGCCCCAGCCCTAGGGTCGACGAGGATGAAATCATGTGACTCAATAAGTTATCATGGGCTGACATTTTAAAGTCGATCGCCAGACTTTCTAGTTTGTCTTAATCTGGAACCTCCATTGAATCCTGTCGAGCATCACAGCAGCAGACATGCCTTCAGGGAGACCAGCGGTGACTATGCAGATAACACACTGGCTGGGATTCAAACGTGGATCTTAGAAAGAGAAAGTGAAAATTTGAACAACCTGATTAGAAGTTTCAAATCTAATCACTTTTGAGTTTTACATACATCTATTTAAAGACAGATTAGGCACAGAGCTGTGCACACACTGAAGGATGACAAAGACATCTTTTAGGGCAATCTATAGGCCAAGGAACAGAGGACCGCTTACACAGAAGGAATTGGCCTGGCCAAATCTTGATTTGGAAAGCTGTGAAAAAAATAAACAGCTACTTTTTAAAGCAAGCTCCTTGTGCTACCTCTTTGACGGCAACAGCAGCGGGAAAATGAGACAACCTGCTAGCAGCTCCTGTCACTGGCAAAAGCTGATGTCAAATGCAATATATGACACAGACCATGACACTGGGGTCGTCAGGGCTTTATTACCTGAAACCATTGTTTCCAGGACCGCTAATGTGTCCTTCAAACATTCACTTGAGGAACACCCCCAAGTTACAATGTATCATGAGTTCTCTCAACACCAAACCAAACCCAAAGCCATCAAGGGGTGTCTGAGTTGAAGAGCCCTAAACTGGCTATCCAACGCCTAAATCTTTGTAGGAACCACGGCCTCATTGTCCTTCTCCTTCAGAGTGGCTGGTGGACTTGAACTGCAGTCACACTCTTGCCCGTTATCACCACCAGGGCTCATTAGAGAGTGCTCTACGGAATTGTACTTCCAAAGAAATTCTGGAACATTGCAACTCACTGGGTTGCACTGAAAGGCAATGGGGGTATCTTAAACGTTGCGGTGTCTGTATGAAGACTGATTATGCTTGGCACATGGACGTTACTCAGAAAATATAAGTCACAGGAACAAACCTTGCCTACTCAGCCCTGGGGGGAGTGAGCCTTGGTGGCACAGTGGGTTATGCTTTGAGCTGATAACCACAAGGCCACCAGTTTGAACCCGCCAACCATTCTGCAGGAGAAAGATGAGGCTTTCTGTTCCCATAAAGATAGCATATATACTCGTGAATAAGTTGGGTTTTTCAGCACATTTTTGATGCAGTTTTTGTGGTAAAATTAGGTGCCTCGACTGATATTCAGGTAGGCTTATATTCAAGTATATTCGATATATAGCCTCAGAAAACCAAGGGGTAGTTGTAGTCTGTTCTAAAGGGTTACTATGAATTGGAATTGACTCCCATGGCCATGAGTTTGGTTTTGGTAAGGAGCCTTGTGGCACTGTCATGTAAGCATTGGACTGCTAACCTCAACGTCAGCAATTCAAACCCATCAGCCACTGGTCCAGAGAAAGATGAGACTATCGGCCACTGTGAAGGTTTACAGTCTCAGAAACCCTCTATAGCGTCACGGTGAGTTGGAATTGACTTGTCAACCGTGGGTTTGGTTTTAGTTTTGGCCCCTTAATATAATTTTTCATTCCTTCATACAGAAGAGTAAAGTTAGTTCTAAAGAGTACAGAACTGAAGTAGAGTATAATTTGTACACTTGTAAAAAATAACAAAGTTTTACATAATCAAGCCTAAGTCCAGCTTTCTGTTCTGTCCCTACGAATGTTTACTTTGATGTGTTTCATACTGATATTATCTTTTAGAGGGAAAAGCAATGACCAGACTAACAATGCTTACATCACTTACTATCTAGTGCTCTTAACTTACAGACCTGTCCTACCTCTGACTTTAAGTCTAAATGAAACACTAATTTGAAAAACACAAAATTGGACATACTGATAGTCTCAACAGTATTAATAGAATGTCATATACGTTACCAAGAGCAATTCGAGTTTAAGGCATTTAGTAAAAGCTACCTAATGAAAGAAAAGACTAACTGTTAAATATATGCCATTTTCTGGGGTCATTTTTTAAAAGGTAAATGGGAAAGATCAATAGCCTGCGTCTGTGTTGACATACCAATTTGGAGCCATTAACTGCAGAAGAAACAATTCAGTTCGAAAAGAGCCTTTAAGAGAGATTTAAATACAGCCCACAGTATGGCCTTGGTCAATTCTTTTTCATCAGAACACTTGCAATATTAGTTTTAGATATGTTAATGCAATCTGCAGCAAACTAATTGTAATTGATCCACAGACCAGCTTCCTAGATACATAATATATATTGACAGCTTCCTCACGGACTCAAATGAAAGTCTGCTTAACGGTTGCAGTCCTAAATTGGAAACCAAAATAGGAGGTGTAGTTGCAAAGCCACTGCTGAAAGCAGAGGCCATCATTCCACTAAGCATCGTCTCCCAGAATAATCACCGTGTTTGTCGCTGCAAATGTAAACGAGTAAGGGCCCTGAGTGAATCTGAAAGTTCATTTCGCTTTCCTTTAAAAAAAACTGGTGAGATTAGAGAAGAATAACTTATGCTTACTTTTATATTTTCCAGGGGTAAAAGAAGGGGAAAATATGTCAAGTAAATGAGGTGAAGCATGCTGAAAATGAAATGGAACTGCTGGATAATAAGAACCATGATGACAAGAGCAGTTCCATCTATTACTAATTAAGTATTTACCATTTGCTAGGCATTACACACACCATACATCAGCTGGTGGTACTGTACAGTGTGGCTATCATGCTGGCAATTATGCCACTGCTAATTCAAATATCAGCAGGCTCTTTTGTGGTAGAAACGTTTCAGTGGAGCTTCCAGAGTAAGACAGAGTAGGAAGAAAAGCCTAGTTCTTAAACTTAGTCAATGGAAAAAGGACTATCAGTCACAACAGAGCATCGTGCTAACCGAGGTACTTGTTTTGGTCATGCCATTTAAAGGGATCAAATCCCTAGGAAAGGGTATCATGTTTGGCAAAGCACAGGGCAAAGAAGTCCCTTAGTGGGATAAATTGGCACAATAGCTGCAACAGTACACATGCTGTGAGGATGGCACAGGGGTGGACTAGAGAAACAAATCCATAGGAACGCATATGTGTATAAGAGTTTTATATAAAGGGCAATTGTACATTAAGAAAGCATCAGAGTCCAGTCCAGTCCAAGCCCATAAGTCCAATAGTAGCCCAAATGTCTGATGCCAAGCTAAAAAGTCCTCTTCAGACTCATGAAACACGTGCACTGACGCCGAATGCAGGATTATCACAGGCCAGTGGGTAGAAAGTCTTTGGATCCAGTGGCATGGTAAGCATCTCAGTGCTGGCAGGGGTCTCCACATGGCTCCTTCAGCACTCAGGGCTGCATGAGGGTAGATCCGTGTGGTTTCTCCTCTGGGATGTCTCGCAGGAAGTCAGCCTCAGTAGAGAGTATCCAAGGGTTGAGAGAGAGAAAGTCTCTCCCGCCTCCAAGGAGGAAAAATCAGATTTCCCTGAATTCTCAGGAGAAAGCCATGCCCACACAGAGACCTCAATGGCTATGATCTGATTAACAGACTAGACTCCACCCCTTCACTCTTTTTTTTAAAAATCATTTTATTAGGGGCTCATG